CAAGGGGACCAGATGATGGTACAAACCAAATGACAGCTTGGCCAGGGCCAACTGTCTGCCAGAGAAAAGCATCTGAAACAGCAGCGTTTTCCCACCCAGACCCACAGGCGGGGACAGGATGCAGTTATGGAAGACAGCTCCACAACACAGCACTCCTATCTGCTCCTCACTACCTGACCCCACCAACTGTACCACCTGCAGAAGAAAAGCGAGAGCAACTCCAAAAGGAGGGCTGGTGGCCACAGCTCAGCTCAGGGATGCCTAGCATTATGGCATGAGGCTAGGCAGGAAGAGCACCGCTGTGTCTCCCACTCCAGGGTAAAATTTATTTGGATGTAGCGATCCCTATTACCCACACGTGTTAAGAGAAGCAGGAAAACTTATAAACAGGCTTATAAACTGCATGACCTCGGAAACTATGCACCCACTGGGATTTATTATCTAGAAACAATGTCTGGCATCAAGTTTCCAAGAAAATTTAGGTTTCAAAGCAAATAGCAGCCATCTCTCAGACAGGCACACAAAATTGCTCGAAGATCTTGCCTGTTTTCAAAACCTACTTCAGAGTCCTCATGGGAGCATCGCTGAGGCCAGCGGCTCCAAAATCCCAGCTGCACTGGTGAAGGCTCCTGACCCTCAAGTCCCAAACCCAGCACAGAGGGTACATTTGGAAATAATTTTAAAGAAAGATTTCAGAAGATTTCTGGCATTGTTTCAACCAGTGCCGCTTCCACAGACTGCAAGCCAAAAATCAGAGCATACTTAGAACCATCTATAAGGTCTACTGCAAACACTGCAATGAAAACCATGCCCACAGCAAGCCCTGGACGGGAGCTCCAGCATTACAAGGAGGGAGAACAAGTCTTAAAAACCTGAAGCACTCCCTGGCCACTGTGCCAGGAAGGAGATGGGGAGGCACACACATGTTCAGTATGTTCACCCGCATTTTACTCAACACAAACCAGGAATGCTGCCACAGAAATTATAGGGGAAAAAATCCTCAGAAAAGACAAAATCCCAGATCATCTCTTTTACATTAAGCATGAATAGTGCTAACGCCTGTATTACCTGCAAAATCAAAGTCTTCTCAAGTACCACACCAGAGACTCGGTGATCTCTATGGCATATTCCTGCAAAGTCCCAGCTGTGCAGTTTCCCATTTAACTGACTGTCCCGCTAACTCTGGAGAAAATACAAATAACTGCAATGTTGCTATAGGTGAAAGAATCACAGAAGAGGAAAGGAACAGCAGAAGAAAAAGCAGGCTTCACTGTATTACATTTTCAAGGAAATCCCAGAAAACTGGATATTTACGTTTTTCTAGCTTATCCTTCTAACTCATTTAATTCAATTCAACATATCTTCCAGAAACAGCAAGGCTTCTTCATTAAGCAGCAGGATAACAGGAAAAGCTTCCATTAGAGAGAAGTGGAATGGAGAACAAAGTGACCAAAAAACATAAAAGTGATCACTGCTTATTCCAGCAAAACCAGAAACCAAAGCCTCAGGAAGGGGGGCATATTTCAGCAGCAGACGAAGCTTTCAGCAGCAAGTGTCCATGACAGCAGTGGGGATAAGTCCAGTTTATGCCGCAGCTCACTGCATTTTTGTAACAGAGCTGCCAATGACGCTTCATTCCTATTGCGTATGCATGAGCTCTGCTGCTGACCTCACTACTAGAATTGTACCCACCTAGTCAATGCCAAAAATTTCAGCACAAACTGAAACTTGACAGGACTCAGCACATTTGGAACAAAAGTAGATTTTACACAAACAGCCACAGACCGGGAACGTGCAGCCTTACCATACACTGCATGGGACTGGAAAAGGAGACCTAAGAGCAATAGATGACCACTGCACACTTTGTCAGAACATGAATGGAGCCTTCACACTGTGATGCTCGCCACTATTTAAGTTAAAACACACAGAGCTTGCTTTAGCAACGAGGGTAGGACTGACCCGTACCAACAGGCATCCACTTCCAAGTCGCTTCATACTTTCCCTTACTGAACCAGGCCAAAAGAAATACTCTGAAAGATGAAAATATTTTCTCTACCATTTTACTGATTATAGAGCTACAGCATGGACTAACAACAGACCTGCACTTCGCCACAGCTACATATAAACACAAGACACATTTGGGTCTAAATTACGCCACATGCAACTCACACATTAAAATATCAAGAAAACCATGCCACATGCAACTCATACATTAAAACATCAAGAAAACCATGCCGGCTCCACACTTTTTGCACCCATGCATCAACTCAGAGGAAGCGCTATAGAAGATGGGGCTGGACCTGTCATCATTGATTCCCCAAATATCCTACAGTAGCTATCTGGCATAACCTATATTGACAGAATACATGAATAGAGACCGTAAGGCATCATCTACTCTACTCAGTGATCAAACACCCACCATCACCACAACAACAAAATCCCATGACCAGCACCCTCTCAACACATGCTTGCCAGCCACAATGAGGACTTGTGATGCCAGGAACAAGCAGAGGGACTCCTTCAACACTCTAGTGGCACCAGGATTTGTTTCATGGCAGCTGGGTGCCCAGAGAGAGAGATCAAGACACAAAGAAAGCAACATAGGACACCTGAAACAGAATTACCATGTTGCAGGGGAGAAAGAAGGATAAAAACATGTATTTATTGCCTTGCACAGCTCTCCTCAGTGGGCCACAGTGCTGCCAGGAGCTCTGGCTGGCTGGCGGTGCACAACGTGATTCTCAGAGACAGAAGGGGAGACCTGGCTACTTGAAATGACCAGATTTCAAAGTTTTTTTTCGAGGGGAAAACAAATATAAACCAAAGGCGTTGGGGATATTAGACAGTTTATTACCCATGGAACTCTGGCTCATGTGTATATGTATTAGGATTCAGCTTTCAATTACATAATCACATCCTAGTTACTCCAAACATCCTTCCAGTCACTGCATTCATTTTGTTCACCAGTCACTATGTTGTTATTTAACCTCTTGTGTGAACACGGAATTACTATGGGCTGTTCCAAGGCTGCTTTCTTCTCCACATTTTAGGACAAGTCCAAAGCATCATTTAATTCAGCAATTTTGGATCCCTCTGGCTTGTTTTATTGGAGTACCTACAGCTCTTCATGTACTTCTCCAGCAACTCCTGTCGGTAAGAACTGCCTTTACAAGCATTCTGCATTTTGGGAGGCTCAGCATGCCTGGAGCTTCCAGCCAAAGGCAACCAGCAGTAGGCTGTGCAAAGTTAGTGGCCACTGCTGAGAATTTCGGTGTTCATGGCTCCCCTTCAGCAACATGGAGGAGCACGGGCTCCCCTCTCTGCAGACCTGTGCTGTGCTGCAACAGGTAAGAGAGAGACCCAGTGAGCATCCTCCCACCAGAGGCAGCCCTGATTCCTACAGCACAGGGCCTTTCTCACCAACTCCCTAAGGCAAGACCCCTTACCTCTGTGCAGGGCGTACAAAGCAGCTAAATAAGGTTATACTCACAATCTTATTCTGCAAAAACATAAGCAGAATGGCTCTCTTTAGCCTTACATGCTCTTGCAAGACAGTATCAGATACTTCTGATATCAGTTATTATATTATATACTTCTGATATCTTGTTATTATAACACCTCCTAATTCCACAAAGGGGGAAGCCTGTCCGTATGATCCAGACCAGCACAACACTGCTGAACACAGTTTTCCCCTTTTCTTTCCCTCACCTCCCCCTTTGTCCACAATTGTTGGGTGCAGCCTCACTTCAGGTCCCTGTCTGCAGCAGCACCCCCCCAGGAATGCTCCCACCTCCAGAACCAGCCCAAGATCATTAACTGCTTAACACAGGTGATCTTTGCTGCTTGTGTTTAATGCAGAGGTTTCTGGCTAACACAGGGAAATAAATCAGTAACAATGTGCTCGCATAGTCATTACCCTGGAATCCATCAACTATGGATATAGCACATCATTCCTATTCAGTAATAATCAAGTTTCTCATTGTAGAGGAAAAAGTATGTCTTCTTAGGAACTGGAATTATTTCCATTACTGGCTCATACAGATTAAAGCTCACGGACCTGCTCAGCTTGGCTTTGCTATCAACTCAAAATTAAACTGCTGAATTTTCTGCCTGATGATATCAAACTACATTCTCAATTTTAATTGCAGTGGCAATAATCACCTTTTCTTGTCATCTGCTAAGACCATTGATTCTTATTTAAAATCGCCAGTTCTCTCTCAGTAGATACTTGCCCGGGAAAACTCTATGAACTCGACACAGAGGAACTACAAAGTGAGTTTTATTTCATCTTACTCTTCTCTGCCTGTCTCAGATTTCACCCGGAATATGAAATACGCATAAAAGCATACATTTAAAAAGGCAGAGACAGGACAAGCAGAGCCCGACCCGCTGCAAGAGGGTACGGGCCGCCCGGAGGGGCGCGGCGGAGCGGCAGGAGGGACCCAAGTTCCCATGAACCACCCGGACCTGTAGATTTGGGGGCAGCAAACGGCTCTTGCGGGATTCTGTGTCCCACTCACCCCGCTTTGCGGGTCCTGTGCGACCGCGGCGAGGTCCACCCCCCTCTCCGCTCCCCACATCGCGGATTCAGGCGCTGCCGGGCCGGGTCGGCAGGGCTCCCCCCTCACCTGAGGAGTGAGCGTGGAGAACCCTCTGAACAGCGCTTCCCTCAACGGAACCCCCCGAGCCGCGCCGCTTCCCGGGGCCGGGGTGTCAGCGGCCGCCGCCGCCGGTAGAGCCGGAGCCGCCGGGCAGCGGCAGCCGGGACTCGGGATGCCGCCGGGGCAGTGCCCCCCGCACAGTATGTGCGTGCGTGTCTGTGTGCGTGTGTCCTGTCCCCGATCCCACACACACACACACACACATACCCACCCTCCAGCGAACGCAGGGGGAGAAGTTGCAACAAACTCCGAGTACCGGCGGGTGATGCTCGGCCGGCCCCGCTCCCGCCACCCTCCCCGGGCAGCCCCTCGGGCTCGGCCCCCCCCGCCCGCACCTACCTGCAGCCGCTCCGTGGCCGGCTGCCACATGGTGCCGCGGCGGCGGGAGGCGCTGCCGGGCGGGCGCCGAGCGCGGCTCTCTGCGGGCGCGCTCCCCCCCGCACCGCCCCCCGCGCCGCTCCCAGCCCCGCCCGCCGCTCCGCCCACGCGTGTCGGGCGCGGGTCGGTGGGGGCCACGTGCGGAGCCGTTTGGCGGCGCCCGTGGTGCTGCATCTACCCTCTGGGGAGCCGCGGTTCGACACCTGCGGGGTGCCCCCAGGGGACGCGCAGGGGCCCCGGTGGTCCCCGTCCTACTCCCGGGCTGAGGTGAACCCTCCCCGCTGGCGCTCAGTGTGCGCTGCCCGGGAGGGTGGAGGGGTCCCTGAGGGGAGGCCGCCTTGGGGCCTCCCTCTCACAGCAGCTGGAACTTTTTCCTCCTGTTCTGCAAAAGGTTTAAACCCTGCCCCGCAAGACCCTGCCAGCGCGCAGGTTGCTTCAGGCACTGAAGGGGTGCGGAGGGCAGGGAGCAACGCTTTGGGTCCAGGATTCCTTATGCCCTGTCAGCGCCGGTGTGAATGTGGGGCCTACGCTAAGCTGGCGTCAAGGCTATGCTCAGCTGTTTCACAGGACAGGACAAGGACAGGCTTTGGGATCCACCTCGTCCTGTTACGAGGCAGTAAAATACCTGTGGAGCATCTCAACCACCTTTCCCCACAAACAACCTGAACCTTTGGTGCTATGTTTGGGGTGCAGATGGAGCAGTGGGGTCACAGCACGGTGGGGAGCTGCCCCAGCCCTGCTGAACCTACGCCAAGCAGCATGGCACTTGCCCTCACATTAGCAGCAGCCCAGCCCAGGCCCCAGCTGCACTTCTGAGTTCCTCATGCCTGAGCCACAAAGTGACAAAAAAACCATGCCCGCCACCTAAATCTCACAGAGAAGGGAGCAGCAGATTAAGGCAGAGCACTTGCAGTCAACCCTGTTTCCAAACGCTGAGGTGCAAAAGCTCATTTCCTCCTGTCCTACAGCACGTCCCACAGCACATACCCACCCACATCCCCCCCAAACCTGCTGACATACACCCACACTGCAGCTTACCTGAGCCACACTATGGCGGAGCTGGTCTCAGCTCCAGCCACCACAGGGATGTATAAGGAAAATTGTTGTCAGTGTTATTAAAATATTGTATTTATCTCATATACTGTATTTATCTCAACGTTCACATCACCCCACAATAATCTCACCTTATGTCCCATCTATTTAGATGGATCCAATATGCAATGCCTGACAGGCAGGAGAGAGCAATGCTGTTACTGGCACCAAACAAGCCTTCTGCTAACAGCACCCTCCACCAGCATACGACATCCCTTTCATCAGTAAAAGGCAAAACCCCAGACCTGAGTCCTCTTTTGTATCCAAGAGGTTAAAGGCAAAACCTCCAGAAGTACCTAAATTACTTGCATTGCCTGGGCCACATTTTAAGACATGGCAGAGCTGCATCCCGGCTGCCACACACAATGGAGGGAGCAGTGCCAGGAGCACGGTGCAGCCACTGACCCTGAGGGAAGCAGTGGTGTGAGGACTCTCCCATGGGTCTGCACCAGCGCTCACAAGGACATGCACATGCTCTGCCCCTAGCTTATGCAGGGACATGCAGGCATTTCTCTCCCCTGTGGAGATCAAAAATGCCACAGAAAAGAGACAGTCTCTGCAGGCTCTTGAACTGCACCAAAGAACATTTTTCCAGGCACAAAAGCCACCCCAGCCCTCCCTGCTGACCCAGGGCCCCCTGAGCAGAGCCTCACGCCCGGCTGCCAGGAATATTTGTTAAAAAAAAACAGAGGAGCATGTGTCATGCTTGTCCTGAGCATTAGCCACCACACCCCGCAGTCTGCAAGGCCAGGCTCCCAAACCCGCTGTGGGTGCATAAGGGCAAGTGTGATATCATTTCAGTGTTTTAAATAGAAAAGTAAGGCAATATTTAAGGACATCTTCTCAAAAAGCCAGGCATCACGTGCAAAGAAGGCATGACCATTGCACAGCAGCTCTGCCACGTGGCCAGTCTCAAGGACCAACACCCTGAGAGGCATTGCAGGATCTGTACAAAGCTGCATCCGGTCAGTGAACATCAACTTTAAAACTGTTTTGAGAGAAATTAACCTGTACATCCCTTAGCAGTGGTGGCCTAATTAGAGCAATTCAAGCCCTGCAGCTTCATTACTGATGCAACAGCCTCCTGTCTCCTGGAAAGGAAGCACTAATCCTGCACCAGCTCCTGACCAAGACCCACCAGAGCTCTCCCCTTCCCATTCACCGAGCAAACACCATGTCCTTGTCACCCTCTTTGTTTCTTTGACTGATGCTTATATTCCTGCACAAGGGCATTTTCTAAAACCCTTGTTCTTCCTCAAGTGAACTCAAAGAGTATTGGTCTTTCCTGTATGGATAAATCCACCACCCATCACTGCTTGAACTAGCTGGGAACAGGCACAGCCTGGGCTGTCATCTGCAGCTGGGCACAAAGGAAGTTCAGGATCTGCAATTAGCAAAAGGAGACCAGCCCTACAACTGGAGGCTGCTTCTCTCTTAGTTTACATGACTTTTATACAAACCAAAACAATTGGTGGAGAAATCTGCATTTATGGCTAAATGGGTGGTGTTCTATTAGAACAAACAAGCAGAAACTTAGTCAATTTCCAAACGGATATGAAAATGAAGAAAAGGAATGCTATAAGGCTTCAGGCTGAGGCTGCATGACAGGAAGGTAGGAATATGCTTATAGATGGAGAGGAACAGCTTGATCGCAAATTTCTGAAATCAAACCGGTTCATTAAAAAGCTCTATGAGCCCCCCAGTGGGATAAGGCATCTTCCCCAAGCCTTACCCCTTCCCAAGACAGCAAGCAGCACTGTAGGGACAAGACAGCTGTAGAACCACTCTGCTTGGGTTTATTTAGTCTCCAGGCATACTTGAGCATTGCAGGGGTTGTGCCCATGCCAGGAAATTCAGCCCTGGTTTTGCTCTTTCGAGTGTGCCCCGCAACACCTCTGAGGGAATCTCTCTTTTCAGCTGGACCAGGCACTGCTGGGGTGGCCAGGGCACCAGCCAGAGCCCAGATCAGGAAATGATCAATTAAACTTGGGTGACTTCATGTCAAAATCTCACTAAGATGAGGTAATTTTTACCTAGACTTTCTAATATTTTAATCCAAGCATAATTTTTTATTTGGTATCTAAGATGTTCTGCATTAGGTAAATCCTGCTCCCAGCCAGAGATCTTTTGCTTTTGCTTAAATAAATAGTGTGAACTTGTATTTCCAGGATGTATTGCGTTCCAGAATGTGCCTGTAAGAAGATATGGATTTTTTTTTCTATTAGTTTTCCTTTTACTGTGCCAAATTTTGGAGTTTCTCTTCTTGTAATGAGTTCATATTAAGACAATTCTTTCCGAAGACTGCAATACATTATGCAGGTTGGTCCCACTTCTCTCAGTCTCCTTCATTTTTGTGCTCACAGCATGGAAATACTGGACCCAATGGAGTTCTTGCATTTCAAAAGGGAGTATTTGATGCAATAGTACCAATTTCGCTTTTATTCACATAGTAAATTTAAAGTGTTTCCAGTGACTTCAGGATATTTTCTCTCTTTAATAGCTCCTAGTTATTGAGTTTGTCTTCCTTTTGCACTATCTCATACCCTAATGTAAGGTGTTTATAGCAACATGGCTCCTCTGCATTTGAAAAATAAACTACTTTTTTTAACTGTAGACATTGCCTTTTTAATTAACCAAAATTGTCTAATTGCTGGTTCCAATGAATTATTTGGCTTCAGAAGCTCCATTTAGCTGTGGGAGCAGTGTTACTTCTCACTGAAACATGACTAAAAGAGTCATTCAGTTATTTAAGTGCTGCTTCCTCAAATATTGTGCAGACTTTGCAAGTCCTGTTTCCAAGATCCTCTTTCTGATTACGCAAGTTTACAAAGCATACACAAGTCATTAAACACATCTTTTTTATTCTGTGAGAATTCAGGTTACCTTGGATTTGCTTTTGCAGAGCAAGTTTGCTTAATTAATAAATTAAATGTTCTGTAAAGTGCTGTAATTAATAACATAATTTCAAAATCTAAATATGTTTGTTACTTTAAATATGTTGTCAATTCACTCCAAGCAAATGCACCATCTTTGCTTAGATGAAAGACACCAGGTACACTGTATGAGTTTTGTGATATCTTTCTGAAAAAAATGATTTGTGCCTAAGCAACACAAAATACACTATCCAGGTAATTGAAACTGTGTTATTTGACAACTATCGTAACATTCAAGTTAGCAATAAATATACTTTTATGTAGAACTTCATCTCTTGTGGTTGGCAAAGCTAGATAGGATGGCATGATCTCAACTTTATGTCCTATAAACATGGCAGAATCAATACCCAAGTTAAAGATTTCCAGCTCCCATGGCAGGGTGTGTGCTTTGGAGACTTGTGGGGAAGCTATGGTGTAGGCATTGCTTGGGGAGGACATGGCCAGGCTGGGCCTCCAGCACCACACCTGGCTATGGGATGCAGGCAAGGGGTAGTTAGGAACAGCATCAGAGCATTGGCAGTTTGCAAATGCTGACAAGAGAGATCCAGATTTTGAGGGGCCTCAGTGATCTGCCAGGTTCAAGGGTACTGAGAAGCAGCTTAAATTACAGTTGCATCTAAATGGCAGATAAACGCCCTTGGGTAGGTACAGCAGCAACTAAAGTACTGGGTCTATATTCCTTACCTGGGAGCTGCCTAAAGCATGGTTGTTAAAGTAGCAGCAATGCAACAGCAAAGTTGTTTCATTCAAATACTGGCAAAACACAGGCCACATATCGCCAAAGGTCCTTGATTCCCTTTCAGTGTTGTGTTTTGGTAAATTGAAGGGCAAATTTATTTACATACGTGCTTACTGTATAATCCCAGCAGTGCAGTACTGTTATTTAGGTAGTCATTTTTATTCTGATTATGTAGGTGCACTGAGATGAATGTGAAGACATGGGTGCAGCTCCACCAAAGATAGTTCAGCTGAGGCTACTTCTGCTCTCAGTGCAACTGTCTCATTATCCCCTTCACAAGTATTTTAAAATGGCATCATGAAATGCAATAAACCTGAAGCAATGCAGTGTTAATGATTTGTGAAACTGAGGC